ATACTTAAACTAATGTTTGTACAGCTATTATTTATCTGGCTGGAAAGCATTAATTTACTGTAATAATACACATAAAACATTGCATTTAAAATAGCTCCATGAGGGTGAAAACTGATCATAACTCTTTTTTTGACATATATATGTGTATGTACACACACACACACACACATTGCCGAATGATTACCACGATCAATTTGATTACCATGTCCATCATCTCACATAGTTAACATAGTTAACTCTGTGTGTGTATGTGTGTGTGGTAAGAATGCTGAAATGCTGAAGATCTATTCTCATCGGCTCTCAAGAACGTAACTCTTTATAGCAGGAATGTGTGGAAAAAGCTTTAGGAAGTTACAAACCCAGACTTAATTGCCTTTCTTTCCTAGAGCAGGTCCTTCTTAATACTGCCCTAGGGTTAGAGGTAAAAGAAGAATGTTGTTCTGCCTGCCTGCCTCTTAGTGCCTAGAAGTGACAGATACCTCTTGCGAAGCATTTCCAGGTAATGGAGCTTTGCTTCCACCTTGTTCTCCTCCCTGTCACTCCTCTATTGTCACCTGGGAGGTCATGTAAAAGTAAAGTAGAATGCCTCTGGTAAGCAAACTAGAAGAGTCAAGAACCCATCAACAGTCACAGTACAACAGCATGTCAGAAAATTCATATAAAAGAGTTAAACAAAACTGAAGTTGATTTCTCTCGCACTTAAATGTAGTAGGTGTGGGGCTGGAGCTGTGGCTCCCTGATGTCAGGGCTCAGGCTCCTTCTCTCTCACTCTATTGCTCTACCATCTTCAACTTGCAGATTCCATCTGCTGGTCCAAGAGACTGCAGCAATCATGTCTGCACACAAACTGTCAGGGGAACTGCAAAATAAGGGAGAATAAAGGCATGCTAGCCCTTTAAGATTTTCCTGGATGAAGTGCATATAGTTTCCATTTATATCCCAGGGCCCAGAATTTAGTTTTATGTCCAACCCAGCTACAAAAGAGGGTGGAAACACAGTCGTTATACCAAATACCCACAAACTCTGCTGAAATTTGTAAGTTCTGTCAGCGCCTAGATCCGAAGACTTGAACTTTACTGCTCACCTGCTTCTATCTACTGACCTTCATCCCACATGTTTCCCTAAGCTCTTTTTTCTCTTCACTCAGGCAAAAGACCCTATAGGCACAGCATCCCATTAAGGAAACCAAAATGGACCCTCAAGCAATAATGACTGCCCAGACCACCCAGACCAGTTTGAGATAAACCCCCCAACTCACACCTGCACAGATGGACCATGGAGTGACCTCTGGGATGACTGAAAATTACCTTTACCTCATTATAACACTAAAATCTCCCCCTAAGGAGGGCACAAGCCTCATTTATATAATATACAATGTTTGTACAGGCATGTTTACTGGAGGCATGACCTTATGCCCGCCTCTAGGTATGATGACAAGGCTTCCCTTTCTAAATATGCATCCTAACTCTAAGTAAAAGGAACCCATTCACCCTTGCCTTGGAAGTTATTCCCCGTGACCTCCTTATTTGAGGCAAATAAAGCTTCCTTTGTGCGACAACTCACCTGGTGGAGTTTCTATCTGTGACTCACCAAGGAGCTAACTCACATTAGTTCCATTACAGTTCTATTACTACAGAAGAAGAGAATACTAAATATTAGGGAATAATTAGCAGCCTCCTCCCGAAGATTCTCTTTCCTTTTTTCTTAAGGAACAATTTTATAGTACTTACTAAGAACCAAGTACTGTTCTAAGCTTTTTTGGGGTCTATAAAATCATCTAATCCTCACAGCAGCACTATAAGTAAGGTTCTATTACCCATATTTTACAAGTGAGAAAAGCAAAGTACAGAGAAAAACAGTAACTTGCCCAAGGTTGCAGATAATTGCAGAGCTAGGATTTGAACCAGACGGTTTGGCCTAGCTGCTGGGCTAAACTGCCTTCTCTCTGCTATATTTCAGAATATTTTTAGTCCTCGATATGAGGCAATGGAAAGGCTTTATCTACATAAGATACTGTCTTTATATTCACAAAGCAAATGAACAGAAGCTATAAGGAAAATACACCTATGAGCTATTAATTCCAGGGAATCACTTATATTTCTATATTTCTCTTTTAAACATCAACATGAGTATAAAGAATAACATGAGGCTTAATGTAGGAACAAAGCCCCTGAATGCCCAGCATTGGGTCATTCAATCATTTAAAGAATATATATGTAAACCAATAACAACTACAGCAAAGATACTTATATTTTGACTCCCTATGTAAGACCCACTAAAATAACAGTAAGGAGATTCTTTTAAGAATAAACCCATGGGAACAAAAACAAGAGGAAAGAGAGTGGCAACAAAAATTATAGAAGTTAGAAAGCAAATGGGCAGGTAGTAGACAGCAGATTCAGATAAGCTGAGTCCTAGACTAGCCACGAAGAAAGTCAAAAAGGCAACTAGATTTACCCCCAGAGGACTCTCCAAAGGCTCAGGACTAAATACAGGAGGATCATTTAAAGGTCTCTCTAGGAAACGATTAGATCTCCAGACCCCCATTCCTGGTCCACATAGCCCTGCCAATCAGCCCCTCTTCGTCTTAGCAAGAGATTAGCAGTTTATACTCTGAAGAGGGTGAGCAGAGTGTCTGAATTCAGAGGAACCAGGCACAGCTGAATGTGGAGGGACAGTGTTGAAATAGGAGCAGTAACAATGTCAGCAGAATGAATGTTGAGATCCTTAGCCCTCTTTCCCTCCCCTGCCACCACCGTAGTCCCAACCAATATCACTCCCCACTTTAGCAACCTCCTAACAGATCTTCCTGCTTCAACTCTTGCCTGCCCCCAAGTCTCTTCTCCAAAGCAGCTAGAGTATCTTTTAAAAAAATGTAATTAAGATTACATTATTCCTCAGCTAAAGGTTTTCCAAGGGCTGCTTCAGAATAAAATCTAAACTCCTTTCTGGGGTCTACAAGGTTCTGCATGATACGGCCCCTGCTTTTTTCTCCATCCTAATCTGGAAGCACTTTCCCTCTGGATCGCTATGGTCTCTTTTATTCCTTGAGCATGCCAAGTTTGTTCCCCTCTCAGGGACTTTACCACTACTGTTTTCTTTTCCAGAATCAGTTTTTGCAAGGTTGCCTCTTCATCATTCAATTCAGGATTGAATGTCACCTCAAAAAACAAAATAAAACAAAAACAACCTTTTCCTGACCATCCTATTTAAACCATCTGCTGTCTCCACCCATCATTGCTTCTTTTATAGCACTTATCATCGTCTGAAGTCACTGTACATATTAACTCCTCTATTGTGTGTTTCTCCCTCTGTAAGGTTTATGACACACACTTCCTCTGCCTCATTTTTTCAAGTAGCCTCAGCACCTATGTACTCAACTCTTATTTGTTAACTGTGAGAAAAAGAAAAGCAGCACCGGACATTGTGAACTGAACTGACACTTACTTTTAAGGCTTCAGTGTTGTTAAGCACTGGCTGCGGTTTTCCCCTATAGAATATAACAATCTGACAGAACACCAACATGAGACAAAATCACACTGTGGTCATGATGAAGTGAGACAACAGACAAGATCACTTAATAACCTTGCCTAAACACAGATTTAAAAACAAGGTCATTGTGAAAACTGCAAAGATACTAAATTTCCTCCTCTCCCATCTAGTAAAATTGTTGCCTCTTTACCAATTACGGATTTAGCCTTGCAATTTTCCTCCCTCCTTCTACATAAAATGTCATATGGTACCTCATATTACAGTTGCCTCTACTTCCTGACAGCGCCCAAAACAGAATGACTCTCCCTTTCCTTGAATCCTCCCCCCACATCATCTAATACATGCCCAAATTTTATAATAAGTCATTTCTAACGCCCTGTTATTGAAATGACCCCATGGTTCCCCAAGGTGTGTGTTCTCCCTCATTGCAACGAGTAATATAACCAATTTTCTGACTACAGGTGTGTTCTTGGTGGTCTTCTGGACTACCAATATTCTCAGCAAATAGGTAGAATATTGACAAATTGCTGGAAAATATTGACAACTGAATGGCCTTCACAATAGTTCACAATTTAGGGCTAGCGTCTCTGTTGCATCCAGTAATTTCTCCAGTCACCTAATTGTCTCCTAAACCTCCTTGTGCCTAGTTGAAGAGTATATTCCTTCAACCACAGATTGTCTTTGTTCTTTCCTCTAGGCCTGAGTAACAATGCTACTGCCACTCTCACTTCATCTATCTTCTCATCTTCTTAAAATAGGAGAGGAAGAAAATCTAATTGTGAAATTTGATTCTTAACAAAACTGTGTTTTCCACCACCTCCCCTAACGGACAGGTGGTGTCCTTTTCTCTTTGGCGAGTTTTTCTTCACTTTTAAGATGTCGTGTATTTTCCTCCAGTGTCACACCCCCTTTCCTTCTCAGTTCTCTAATCAAACTCTCTTTTTTCCTATTCAGAAATGTAAATTCCTGCTTTTTTTCTCACCCCCATCACAGGCGATGAAAACATCTACAAATCCCTTTTCACATTATCTTTAGGCTTGCCTTCTCTCAGGCACCCTCCAACATTATTCTATCTACAACTCTTCCCTGGCCTAAGTGCAGTGCCCCAGTGTGCCCTTTCTTCCAAATCAGTCCTTGTCCTATAACCCACCCCAACCCAAATCAAGGACACACATCTAATTAGGGCCCTGGGCCTAATCTTCATCCCCAACCCCCGGCCATCTCCAGGTCCTCTCCCCGTCCCATCCCCTGGCCCAGACCTGCCTCTATCCTGCGGACCGAACGCGGCCCCGCACCTCCACCTACCCAGGGCAGCCTACGATGCCCTTACTCCCAGCCGCTCCACCCCGCATCCCGCGCCAACCAGTCCGCGCTCGCGGCCGACGCCTCAGCCAATGCGCGTTCTGCATCCCGACCCAGCGCCCAGCCGCGCCCAGGCTCCGCCTCCACGTCCGAGTCCCTCCCCACCCGGCCCAGGAGCGCAGGAGCGCAGGCGCGCCCGGAGCCCGGGGAGGCGAGGCTGTCGCGCGCTGGAGGTGAGTGCGGCGCTAGGCGGGCGCTCCGGGCCCGGCGCGCGGAGTCGTGTGGAGCGAGGCCGGGAGGGAGGGAGGGAGGGAGGCCGCCGGAGCGGCGCGCCTGGCGAGACCGGGAGCCGGGCTGGATCTCCTTCAGCACTCGGACTCGCGCTCGGGAGCCGGCGTCCGCGCTGGAATTACGTTTCCTCTGGGGAGGTGGCTGGCCTCGCAGCGTGCGGCCCCTGCACCCCCAGTCGTCCAAAAAAGGCTTTGTGCCCCCTTTTGCTCTTGATTTGACAACTCTGGCATTGTGGAAACACCGACTCCAGTTCATCCATAACCGGGATTCCCAATAAGAAAGGAAACGAAGGCTGTTCTCCTGCCGTGTAAGTGAAGTGTGGAATCTGAAATGTGTCGTTAAAAAGAGCAAAACAGCCCAATCTGCCGCTTTATGGGGGCGACCCCCTGTTCCCTTCCGCCGCCTAGGCGAGAATTAAAGTGCTCGCTCACTTCCACAGCGGCCGCCAGCGGTGCCGAAAGTGTCACCTCGTGCTGGGCCGAAACCTCATTCCTTCTCATGGAAACCAGGCAGCCCCACTTCTTAACGCTGGGCACATTTATATTCCACGAACCCATTTTCACAGAACGGCTTTTCAGCGGTTTCAGAATCCTCTCTCCTTTAGCTCGGGCTAACGATGGCTGATTTTTTCCATTCTTGCTCCAATGACAGGACTTTGAGGCTTATTATTCCCGCTGTACTTCCCCAGTACCTGGGCACCTTCTAGATGCCATCTGTTGCACCGGCGAACCTTATAAACATTCTAGAAGTGGAAAGGCAGGGAGAGAATAAAGGAGAAATAACCTTTGTTCAAACTTCACAGCGTGGGCTGTGCGTTGATTAGCATCAGCCTCTTTTGCAGTCTCTAACCTTACCGTTCCTTGAGCTTGCAGTTAATCTAAACGTTCTGAACTTTGTCAAATTACCTAAATCTCTTCCTACCTCTCCTCCGCACATGCAAAGTGGTTCTATCTAAATTGATCACTTGGGTTTAACGCCCGAGTTTCAAACTTGATACAATTCATTTTGACCGCTTTGCTTACGTTGTAGCTGTGGATTCTGCCCACCCCCCCCCCCAACAGGGCACCAGCCGTCTCAGCTTCTGCTGCACATACCTTCTGTATTTTCATTTTAGATAGTTTACTCCAATGATAAGAAATAACTTTAATTTTCTATTGATCATGCGTATTTGAATATGGAGGTGACTTTATTTACAATATGCCATAATCGGGTTTACCAGATCACCTTGATTCACAATTGCCTGGTTTTCTTCATAGAACATTGTTTTTAAGGAGAAACTACAAAAAAAAAAACAATGAAAATATTGTTTAGAATTAAAAGCCATATATATTTGGATTTTCTCCAACTTTTCAATGACATCCAAATTTGTTAATCTATTTTTATTATTTGTGAATATATGTATGGAACGTTAATTGCTTTAGAAAGTTCTGGTCAAAATGTGTTTATGTAAAGCGCAGAAGAAAAATAGTCTCGGAGGTTCAGAATCTGTATGTCAGCCCACTTAGATTTCTTTGGAGCCTTTTTTTTCACATGCCCCCACAATTCCTCCCACAATCAGATTACTTAGTGAGAGATTAGTGACTGAGAAGAGAGTCTGGATGTGGGTATTGAGAAATTCCATCATTTAATGGCGGATTGGAGGAGTGGTAGGAGGGAAGGGAGGGATTGTAGTATGTCAAAAGCCAAGGGAACATGGTGTTTCTGGGGGGAGACAGGGCTTGACCAGCAGTATCTAAAACTGCAGAGAGCTCAAGGAGAGTGAGAGAATTGCCAGATGTTCACTGGACTTAACAATATGAAGGTCAAAACTGACTTGAGCAAGAGCCGCCTCTGTGGAGTAATGGGTACAAAAGTCAGATTGCACCAGGTTGGAGAGCATAGATTGAGGAAAAGAAGACAACTGAGACATAACTTTTTAAAACCTTTGCTCTCAAGAGAAAGTAACAGGAAAGTTTTGATTTGAAGAGGAAATGAACAACAGGGAGGCGTCAGGAGTTTTAGTTTTTGTTTATATTTTGTATTTATTGTTTTTTAACCAGAAGAGATGTGAGCAAGGAAAGTTGCATATACCAGAGAAAGGGGTAAAAATCAGTGGAGCAAGGTGTCCGTAGAACTAGGAGTGAATGAGATCTTAGTCATGGGAGGAAGAATTATCCTTTTGTGGGAGGGTCACTTTCTTTATTATAATAGAAAGGAAGAATAAAAGGATTTGGGGGGTTTGGTATTTTCAATTCGGGTAAATTGAAATGGTAAATCTGATAGCTTCTGTTTTCACTGTGATAGGAAACAAGGTCATCTACTTAGAATAAAGAGCTTTTGGGTTAGAGGAGTGTGGGAAAAATTAAAATAATCATTCTGGACTATGGGAGAGAACTATGGCCTGTCCTTTGAAGTTTTCCAGCTGGGCCCGAGAATTAAACTGCCATAAGGCAGATAACAGGAAAAGAGCACACACATTTAATGTAAGTTCTACGTGACACAGGAGTCCTCATAAGAAAATGAAGACCCGAAGAAGTGGCAAAAACAAATGCTTTTATACTAGGTTGAACATGGAGAGGCAATTGTGGAAAAGTAACCAAAATATTTGGGGAGGCTAAAGGAAGGTAAGAATTATTTTTAACAAGGTCTATGTTTACAGAATTCTCTCAGCTTCAACTTCCCGTGTAAGAATGATTCTTTTCTCCTGTGCAGGGAGAGCACCTTTCACATGGGAATTTCTATCTCCTGTTCTCAGAAAGAAAGAGAGGAATCAGATTGCTCTTCTTGCATTTGCTATTTCTCAAGTGCCTTTAGCTCAAAATAATTCTTATTCTAAAGTGGGATATTTTGGTGTGGCATATTCTGCCATCCTTCCCCTGTAAAATATAGTATAAATGCTGGAGAGTGTTGGGATTCAATTTGAGATTAATGACCATGAATTTATGGTGGAACCAAACATATCCTGTGTGACTTTCCCCAGCATTCCACAGCTTGAGAAAACCAGACTCTGTTCCAGAGTTCATCCAGTGCTAGAGTGCTGCAAACAGGTGAAAGGACAGACAAGGTGGGTAGGACATTGTCAAGAACATTATCAAAGTGGTGGAGCTGGTATCTAAATAGGAAAATAAAGGAAAGGGAAGGCTGATTGGGAAAAGGAGAGGAAGCCTCCTAGAGATCTTGATAATATTGAAGAACAGAATAATTAATTGAAAGGGATGGTAGTTTATGGTCAAAGAGCAGAATGTTTCAATTAGTTCTTTTGGAATTAGACCAGATTGAGGTAATGGCAAGGTGCAGGGTCAGGATATAATGATAGGAAAGTGACTACGGTGGAATGGAGCAGAAGACCGATGGACATGGGGTTGTCAGCTGTTGGGAGGATCATCTCTGAAGCCATTGAAATTATCTGGGATGATCACAGTACTTTGCGTTGAGTAGAAAACTGTATGCCTAATGACAAAATCTTTAACAATGACAGGAAGTTATCAGCAGGCCAGGAGATAACATTAGTGAGGCAGATGAGGGAACTAACAGTCTGGCACTGGTAAAAGGGACAACAGGAAAGACTTAGGTGCAGCATATAAGAACAAAAGCCAGCACTGAGGAACATAGAAGTGGTATCTTCAGGGAACAGTAAGATTTGTGTTAAAGCAAGGAAAACACTCTGAGAACGTAAAGATACATTGGAATTTGCTGATTTTGGTCCATCTGTTCCAAAAGACACAGTGGAAGGTATGGAAGGTGGAAGAGAAATGAAGAACTGGGTCACTTGCCAGGGAGTACATTATATCATGGAGGTAATATACTGTTGAAGGTAGCTAGAGATGATGCGGGATTTAGGCGTTGGGATTTCCAGATGAAAACAGGTGGATTTAGTGTTAACTCCCTAAGGAAAATGGGCACTGAGACCTGGTGGGCAGAGGGCATGGTTCAGCCAGTGTGGAGTGAAGTCTCCTAAGAGTTGGCGTCTAAGCTCACACATGATCAGTCATTGACTTACCAGCACCTTCTGACTTTACCTTCAAATCAAGGGTTCGTGTATTCATCTGTTTTGAAAAATGAGGGAACTGAGGTTCAGCAAGAATCAGTGACTTGTCCAAGGATAGAAAACTTTTTTTAAATATCAGAATAAAGACTAGAATCGAGGTATCCTGGTTCCTAGTGCTGTTTTTTCACCTAGTTTATCTCAAGAAGATAGAAGAGGTTTCTCTCATTTGTCTGCTTGTAAGAAAGCATTTTGCTTATACTTGCTTAAATGCCTAAGAAATTAGGCTGAACTTAAATAAATAGACATTTATTTGCTGGGAATTACAACAACAACTATATTATCCTAAATCAAATAACTCCATGATACTCAATAAAGATTTTTTGATGTTGTTCCTGTTGTTTGGTAATATCTTTCCTTAAAACAATCCCTATTGCCTAACCTAGTTAATATTTTATTCCTGAATGGAACAGGTAATGACACGAGAATAGGCATTTCTTGATTTAAGAAAACCTGTTCTTCAACTTGAAAGACTTACAACATAAGGGGTAATTATTTACTTTACAAAAAGAATCAATATTTCATAAGAGGCATCATAAATAGTCCACTTAAATCATTAATTTATAGTGTGATTTTATGTATTTATTCAGTCATTTAATACTTTTACTTATCAAGTGTCTACTCTGTGCCAGCGAATGCAGTGGTAAACTAAACACACCAGGTCCCTGCTCATGAAGCATCAAATGAGTGAATGAGTGACCAACCAAACAACAGCAACAAAAGTGCTTTGCAGAGAATTTAAATAAGCTGATCTGGTGTCGAATGGCTAAGAGGCTGTCATTTTAAGCTGAGATTTTGTTGACAGGGTCAGGATTTTATATTTAACTTTTTAAGAAACATCCAATACATTATTTCTCACCTTTAAAGCTTTCTGTAACCTTAACATTTCAGTAACTTAAAAAGATTCATAGCTAGCTGGCTTCAGTGGATTCCTTTGAATCTGTAGAGTATGTCTCTTTTTCTAAAGTTTAATTAACTACTAGAGATAGAGGAAGTGTCATCCACTACAACATTCTCAGAGTAAAACCTTACAAGAAGTTTCTTCTTATACAGTTGGATTTTTTTAGAAAACTTAGTTTTCTTATACTTGTAAGTGGCAGTATAATAATAGAATTTCATATTTCTTTGATAACAGTTTTCCTTATAGGTAGAGATGTAATTCAGAATGCATGCCTGTTATGTAACTGGAATCTATTGAAATAACTTGCTAGCTCTCTATGGGATTGTTGAGGAAAGTACCATCTACGAAAATAACCTAAGATTCATTTGTATATTCTTTATATTTGTCAAGGACTTGCTATAATCCTTCTCAAACAACTTATTAAATTCTGTTTGTAACCACTTTAATTGACTGTCAAAAATAGTGCTGTTTTACCAGTGACTACTATCCAGAAAATTAAGAAATTTGAATAGTTCCTAGATTGAAATATTGTTTTTATGGCTGCTACAAATGAAACTTTTACTTATTGTAATTTTGTGCTCTTGACCAAATTAGAGACTTATTTTTTGAATTTACAATACCCTTACTTACCTCTAGTTTAAAATGACATATGCATAAATTTTTTTAAGATAAGGAGTATTCTATTAGAATGATTCTAGTGATGACAGATTACATATAGAAAGAAAACAGCTATCAGCAATTTTTACTTATATTTTATAGACGCTTATGGTCTATTAGATAGCTGCAAGTGTCTGATAGTGATGTAAGTATCATATATTTTCTTCCTTTTAAAGTTTTTTTTTTATTCTGTAGCATGTTTTTGGCCCAGAGGAGACTCTGCTCCCTTGACAGTAGAGCAAAATTCCTGAAGACAATTTCTTCTTCAAAAATCCTTGGACTCCCTACTTCTGCTGTAGGTATTGCTTAATCACTTATACAGATAAATATTGTACATATCCTGCTATGTCAAAAAAAGATACAATTTTTTAGGTACTTTATAAGCCTTTTATTGGAATGAGTATTTCTATGCTATGTGAACTGGAGGTATCTTTTGTCATTGTTAGAGCTGACATTCCCTGAGCTACTGCTTGTGTGTGTGCATATCAGACACAGGGCTGGGCATTGCCTACTCATTATCTCATTTTATCTTTATAAAACTTTTCAAGTTATGAATTGTTATATTCCTGCTTTATAAGTGAGAAAGTGGAGGCTTAGGTAGGTGTAGTAACTTGCCCAAGGTCACAGCTTTTAAGTGGCATGACCAAAATACCACACTCATGCCTGTCTAGCTCTAGCACTCTCAAGGAAGGGCATGCCTTGTTTACTCAAGATAGGATATTGTAGTGACTATCAGTGCTGGCCCCGTAACTTCCAGTTGATAAAAAATATGGCAGATTGAGGAAATCATGGAAAAGCAAACAAATCCAAAATGTGGGCCATAACCACAGGATAGATAACTGACCCAATTTCTTCAATAAGCCAGTGGCATGGGAGAAAAGTGGGAGAGTGTAATTTCAGAAGGACTGCTGTAGGATGAAAAGAGGCTTGAGTACTTCATCCACCAAATACAATGTGTGGACCTTGTTTAGGAACTTGATGCAATCAACTGAAATGTAAAAAAGATATATATATATTTTAATTTTTTTGAGAGAGAAAGAGCATATATGCAGGAGCAGGGAGGAGAGACAGAGGGAGAGGGAAAGGGGAAGCAGACTCCCCGCTGAGCACGGAGCCCATCTTGGGGCTCCATCATCTCGTGACCCTGAGAGCATGACCTGAGCTGAAATCAAGAGTCAGACTCTTAACCGACTGAGCCACCCAGGCACCCCCATAAAAAAGATATTTTTAAAGGCAGTCAGAAAAATATGAATATGGATTGGGTACTAGATGATACTGTTAAAGAAACAAAACCCAACTGAGAAAATTTGAAGATCTACCTGGCTTTATTAAATGACTCATGAACAGGGCACCCATCCCATCCAGGAGCAGAGAAGAGCCCCAGGGAGTTGTACAACATGGAAGGTTTTTGTAGAAGGAGGGTGGGGAAAGAAAGTAATTAGCAAAGGAAAGTAATTAATTCCAGGCCAGGTGGCTTTCCCTTGGGGGTGGGAGGGAAGCAAGGGGTCTTAGCATGCAGATTACTTCATCTTTCTTTGGGGGATGTGAGGGGCCCATGTGGTAGACTCTTTGGTACTAATTGAAAAATTCCTGGTTGACTGGTTAAGACTACATTTCTGGGAGAGGTTGAAAGTGCAATTAGATTAAATATTAAACCCCAGTTTGGGAATTTGGTCTAAGTGACATCATTTTGGGCTTGTGGTTTTGTTTTTAACAATTCTCGATTCTCCAAGTAACTGAGAGATGTGATCAAAATTTAAGGCATTACAAGAATACTATATCCAGCTAGGCTGTCATTGAAAATTGAAGGAGAGATAAAAAGCTTCCAGGACAAACAAAAACTAAAAGAATTTGCAAACACCAAACCAGCCCTATAAGAAATATTGAAATGGGTGCTCTAAGCAAATAGAGAGCCTAAAAGTAACATAGACCAGAAAGGAATAGAGACAATATAAAGTAACAG